TGTGCATGGGTGTACACATGCATATATGCATGTGCATGCATGCATGTGTGCGTGTGTGTGCATGTGTGCACGTGTCTGTGTATGCATCTGTGTGTGTGTGTAGACATGTGCAGAGAGAGATAAACAGCATACGCATGTGTACGTATATACAGAGAAAGTGGTAGTGCACAGGGCCAGTGTGAACTACTGTCGTTCTGGGGAAGGGACGCAGGAGTTTCTGGCACCATCCTTGTAAGTTTTCTGTAAATGTAAAATGATATCAAAATAAAAACTGCAAAAGGAAAGCCCTGGGTTCAACTTGCAGTGCTCCCTTGATGAGCTGTGTTACCTTGGGAAGCCCTCTCACCCTGGCCTCCGCCCCTACCTGCGCCCATGTCCCAGGCTGCTGTGAAGGTCTAATGGGTCCAGGGACTCCAGGCCCTGAATGGGTGCAAGCTGCTGGTGTCATTGTCACTATCTTCTTGGCTCCACGTCTGAAATGTTTCAGGAGGCTCCTGCTCCCACTGTCTGTGAGGGAGGAGATAGTAATGAGTCCATAGGTCCTTGCTTTTGCCCTGTGGAGCAGACAGACAGCAGGGCTGGGAGGGGGCTGGCAGCCCTGAGGGACAGGGCAAGGTCAGAAATGGCTTCCATGGTGGGGAAGGTCTGAGGATAGGAGAGGGCAGGGCCAGAGACAAAGCACATGCCCCCACTGCCAACAGCTCCCCACCCTGCCCATGCTAGCATGCACCCTGCACACCCCTGCACAGGCCTGGCAAGAGCTCCCACTGCAAGGGCTGGTGGCATGAAGCCCTCCATCCTTCCATCCCAGCAGGGCCTGTGTCCTCTGCACACAGGCACTGGGCTGAGCCCTGGACATAGGGGTGAGAAACTCAAACCCATTGAGGATCTCACAGCTTGGTAGAGAGTATGACAAGGTCCACAGCATCCCCGGGGTTTGGCGTTCAGTCCTCGTCCAATTCAAAGCTCAGCTTCACCACACCTGCTGGTCACTGTGCGACAAGGCCATGACTAAGGGACTGCCCTCCCAAGCCGACACCTACCTCCTTAATCTGCATTCTTCTCACCCCTGCCCTTCACTTCTCATCCTTTCCTCCCACCACTTTAAAGTCAGACAGACATAGTGATGAGCTTCTAGCCTCTTTTGTTTTGTCTGTAAAAACTAAATCAAAATCAGTCCCCAACAGCATTGCTGAGAAGATGAAATGGGACCCTGCTCAGAAAGCACATGATTCACACCCTGCACCCAGTAGGTCCCCAGTAAACATGAGATGGGATGAGAGCGAGGCTGGTCAGGAGATGCTGGTGATGATGCTGCTGGTGATGCTAGTGATGCTGCTGCTGCTGCTGCTGGTGATGCTGGTCAGGAGATGCTGGTGATCATGATGCTGGTGATGCTGGTGATGATGATGCTGCTGCTGGTGATGCTGGTGATGATGATGATGCTGGTGATGCTGGTGATGATGATGCTGGTGATGTTGGTGATGATGATGCTGGTGATGCTGGTGATGATGATGATGCTGGTGATGCTGGTGATCATGATGATGCTGGTGATGATGATGATGGTGATGCTGGTGATGATGACGCTGGTGATGCTGGTGATGGTGATGCTGGTGATGCTGGTGATGATGGTGATGATGGTGATGCTGGTGATGCTGGTGATGATGGTGATGATGGTGATGCTGGTGATGCTGGTGATGATGATGCTGCTGCTGGTGATGATGATGTTGGTGATGATGATGCTGGTGATGCTGGTGATGATGGTGATGATGGTGATGCTGGTGATGGTGATGCTGGTGATGCTGGTGATGATGATGCTGTTGCTGGTGATGCTGGTGATGATGATGATGCTGCTGCTGGTGATGATGATGTTGGTGATGATGATGCTGGTGATGCTGGTGATGATGATGATGTTGGTGATGTTGGTGATGATGATGCTGCTGCTGGTGATGATGATGTTGGTGATGATGATGCTGGTGATGCTGGTGATGATGATGATGTTGGTGATGTTGGTGATGTTGCTGCTGCTGCTGGTGATGCTGGTGATGATGATGATGTTGGTGATGTTGGTGATGATGATGCTGCTGCTGCTGGTGATGCTGGTGATGATGATGATGTTGGTGATGTTGGTGATGATGATGCTGCTGCTGCTGGTGATGATGGTGATGCTGGTGATGCTGCTTCTGGTGCTGATGCTGGTGATGCTGGTGCCGAGGCTGGCGATGCTGGTGCTGATGCTGGTGATGCTGGTGATGACATTGACGCTAATAAAGTTAGTGGTGATGCTGTAGGTGGTGATGGCACAGAAGGAGAAGAATCTTTGATCAGTATACAGTAGGTGCTCAATAAACAGGTTCCCTTCTAACTTTGTATAAAGCTCTTTTTCCTTCCTCTTAAAACATGGTGCTGAGAAACAACCAAGCTCCCTGGATATAGCTATGCCTGGAAGTATTCGGCAAGGGCATCGCAGTGGAGCAGAGCCAGGGCCAGAGACCTGATTTCTCTCTGTCACTGCCTGGAGCTGTGGTTGGGTCTCAGTTTCCACATCTCTAAAATGGGGATACTTGTTGGGCCTAAGGCATCATTGGTGTGGAGGAGTCAGTGAGATGATAAGGCAGGAAAAGACCTGAGAAGGATGCTGGACACACAAGTGCTGATATCAGCTGTCATTATAGCTATTGCTGTTCTCCCCGGATCCAGATGTGGAGGCCAGGTTCTAACCTGTCTACCTCTCCTTCCCCGTGCCAGGGAGGCCTGTATGGGGTGACCTGGCCATTCATCTGCTGTCAACCACCCACTGCTGCCTGCACAGTGAGGACCCCGACTCTGAGAGGACAGGGACCTGGCTGGGGCACAGGGCGGACGGGGCGGGGCAGGTCTCCCTCTCCTGGCTCTCCTCCCGTGCTGGTGTGGAGGCCCAGGGGCCTCTGCAGGGCTGGCCGGGGTGGGGGCGGGGGCTGCTGAGGAGGCCTCTGCTCCCTGCCCTGCTCCACTCAGCACAGACGCCATCTGTCTCTGCCGGCTTCCTGGCAGCCGGGGAGCGTCTGGTCAGCTCCCTGCACACAGCCTGCAGCTTGTTCGCTGCTGAGGCGGCCCTGTTTGGGGTCTCTCTCTGTCCTGGCCTGTCTGTCTGGACTTGGAGAGTTAGAGATGTTTCCACCGCTTGGACTGTTTGTTTGTCTTTCAAGAGCCCAGGAAGGGGCCCTGGGTGGCTCTGCCTGGAACTCATGGCTGTGTGGGGACCGACCTTGGTCAACCAGGGAGACAGACCACACTTAGGCCTGCAGACAAGGCTTTGGCCTCTGCCCTACCCTGGGGCCCGCCCAGCATGGCCGCTCACTGGGGTGAGGTCTGGGAAGACTGGACAGACACTGGACACATTCCTGGGGCACCTTCCCAGCCTCGTGATTTTCTTGGCTCTGAAAACAACCTTCTCAGAGCCAGGAGAACCAGACCACTCCCTCCAGCGGGAATCAGGGCCCCCAGGAGGAGCAGGGAGGCTTTGCACAGCCAAGTTCATCCCAGTGGCTGGTCAGGCCAGGGGTGTAAGGGCCAGTCAGGATGCCTGGAGTTTCTCACCACTGGTGGGTCCTGGCCTGAAGACACCAAGCTTCAGACCCCAATGAGAGCCACCCAGCAAGGGACAGCTAGTGCCAGAGTCACAGACACTCAGCTGCCATCTTGGAATCTGGAGCTTGTAAACAGCCACAGGGCTTAGGGTCCCAGCAACCACAAGCTCAAGCCGTTGCCCTATGGGGCGGAGGTGGCTGCTTTAGATGATCCCCATCCAAAACCACTGCCAGACTCACTTGCACCAAGCAGACACAAATCCTGCAGGCCCCTGTGGGTGGTCTCAGAGATGACCTGGCATGGAGTGCTTCATTCATTCTTAGCTCCTAAAGTTCATCCTAAAAGAGTCCAGAGCAGAAACGACTCAACGTTGGTGCTGCGTAAGGAAGAGTCGATGGACGGGAGAGCCTGCCACTGGATTTGTGGTGATGGCAGCTGCCAGAGGGTCCAGCCTGGGAGGCAGAGGCCCCACTACCCAGGACAAACAGGAGGTGTGCTCATGACTGCCCATTACTGCCCACTGAGGGCTCAGGGCGCTTTCTTCAGAGTGAGCTCCTTAACTGCCACGCACTTCCAGAGGCTCAACCTACCCGATGCCTCGAGCATCTTGGAGTAGAGCTGCTGGGCTTAGGCCAGGGCCACGGAGCAGTCTCCAGCAGCCACTCCCTGCACATGTTGGGAAGGAAGACATAACAGAAGAAAGGAGGGAGCTCGAGGAGGAGGACAAGTGTGTGATGCTAAAGGCCAATGATAGAGGAATTGCAGAACGGTCCAAGTTTGTCATCAAATCATGAGACGAGTAAAGCCCACCCAGCACAGGCATTTCCCTTGGTTCATCTCCAAGCCTCCAGGCTCTGCTTCTCAGCAAGCAGACACTCAGACTCACACCCCGAGCTCACCAGGGCCCGTGGCCTAGCAGAACTGAGTTAGGTCATGTACCAGTCAGGATAGAGTAGGTTGTGCTGTGTAACAAGTGACACCAAATCTTGGCAGCTCAAAGCAGCAGAGGCTGGTTTCTCATTCACACAGCATGTTCCTCATGGACCTGTGGGGACCTCTGCTGACCAAACAGCCACTTTCCCAAGCTTGCAGAGAGCAAGACAGAGCTCTGGGAAATCTTGGGCTGGCAATTAAGTGCCCTCCAGCAAGGAATGAACGTGTATCGCTTCTGCTTGCCCCTCATTGGTCAGATCTAGTCACACAACCCCTCCCAAAACCAAAGAGATGGGAAGTGCATCTGCCCAGGTCTTGGAGATGAGAGCTAGGGGTATAGGGTGAGCAGCCCCCCCAAAGCACGGCAGGTTAAGGGCTTCAGGGCAAATGGACCTGGGTTTGAGCCCCAGCCCAGGCAGTGGATAACCTTGAGTTCTGAACTTCACATTCCTTAGCTGGAACGTGCATACAATATACCCGTGGGGCAGAGCTGTCGTGAGGAGGAAACCAGGAAATGGCACAAATGTTTCAGCCCAGCAAATGGCAGTTGTAATGTGTAATCCTTCTAGAAGGGAGTGCTCAGCAGGGTTTCAGGAGGCCCACCCCTTCCTCCAGGGAGCCTTTTGGTCGTTGACCTTGGGAGGGAACTCGAGTTGTCAATGAGTTGAATGTGCCCAGGAGGCTTCAGTCCTTGGATTTCCCTTTTCGTAAGGTGTTATCACCCTGTGTCTCTCACTGTCTGTCACTCGTCATGGGCAGGGACTAGGCTGGACTTTTCTCTGTGTCCCAGAGCCTGCTCAGCCCTGTCATAGAGTGGCATCAGGTGCTATCAGGTGAATGAATGACTTGAGGACTTGGCACCTAGATACAAACACATAGTCCTGAGAGCCAGGGTCAGAGCCTCATTCACCACCCAAATCCTCTCTCCAGTCCCCTCCCTCTCCTGGGACTGGGGACTGGAGACTGTTCTATCAGACCCACCATGTCACAAAGTTGGGGGCAGCCAGCAAGATGCATCACGAGAGAGTGGTCATCTGGAATCCAACACAGGAGGACCAGAGGGCATGAGCAGGTATCCCTGACCCCCACGTCACTCACCACCACGGCCCCAGTGCCCCTCCCTCAGCTCACACTCACAGACATAGGGAAGCTCCCGGGGCCAGATGATAGGGGAGGAAAAGCCCAGGCTTTTTGGTTCTCTGATGGTGAGCATGACCTGGAGATGGACTGCTCCTGAGCTACGGCCTCACTCAGGGATGACCTCAAAAGAGAGAAAACCCTCCTGACGGGCGGAGCTTTAAGCGATGCACCTGGCCGGCCACAAGAAGAGCATCCTAAGGTCAAAACACAGGGACTGAGAGGCAGCCGTGTGTCACTCAGCCAGCTCACCGGGGCCCAGAAGGAGAAAGAGTGGAAGATGAGGGGGACCGGGGGCAGAGGCCGGTGCCTGGACATCGAGGAGGGGGAGTGGAGCGTGGCGGTCTCTGCAGTGCAGGCAAGCTCCTGCCACCACCAGACGGGCACTGCACAGTCAGGCGGGCAAAATGCCCAGCCAGTCGACGTCACAGCCATGATGCGTCGTTGAAGGGGGTAGCCAGGGTGTCAGGGACAAAGGCTCTGAAGGCATCAGGCGTGGGCTTCCATTTACCTAGGCCGACCTGGCTACTGCCTCTGCCAAATGTACAATGCAGCACCTGGTAGCCAGTCAACTATGTTTAACTCTAGAAAGATCAGAGATCCGCCTCGACTGGAATTGACACAGTCCAGGTCTTAGCTTGCCTTTCTGACCCCGGGCTTCAGTCAGCATCTCCAAGGGTTTGGTCCACCAGCCTGGGACCCCACAGAGCCTCGTGTCAGACCAAGGGACCCACCTTACAGCAAGGAGGTGTGGGAATGAGCCATGACCCCTCAGACCCACCGGACACGTCACAAGTGACCTGGAACTGTGGCTTGAAGGAGCCCCAGGCTGGCCAGTGGAAAGCACAGCCCTGGGCTGCCAGCCTCCCCTCAGCTGCCAAAGGTTCCCTCATCTGGGCACCACCCTTTCTTGGGACAGGTGCATTCAATGAGTATAGACACAAGAGGAAGAAAAAACACCTGCCCTCCTCTGCCAAGCTGGGGCACCTACAGGTCATCCCAGCTCCAGAAGCCCTTTGGGCCATCATGGTGGCATCACATCCTGACTGCTTCCTTCTCAAAGCTGCCGCTGTCCCTTCCCTCCCACAGCGTTGACCTGAGGACCCATCTTAGACTGTCACCACCTCAGAGGCTGCTTCCCAAACCGACCTCTGTAATTCACAGATGAGGAGACAGACCCCC